AGTGGTAGAGCGCTAGCCTTGAGCTGAAGAGCTGAGGGACAGCGCCCAGACCCAGAGTTCAGGCCCCATGACTGGACCCCCCCAAAAAAAATATTTTATTTTTTGTGTGCTAGTACTAGGATCTGACCTCAGGACCTAGGTGCGGTCCCTGAGTTTTTGAGCTCAAGGCTAGCTCTGTACCACTTGAGCCACAACTCCTCTTAAGGCTTTTTGCTGGCTAACTGGAGATAAGAATCTCACAGATTTTAGTGCCCCAGCTGGCCTTGAACCACAATTCTCAGATCTCAGCTTCCTGAATAGCTAGGATTACAGGTATGTGCCACCAGCACCTGGCCATATGCCAATTTTTTAACAATAGAGTTTCAGATGTTACAAAAATAGACTAAACAATGAAATAAGTTACATAAAACTGATGAATGATAGCAAGACCAAAGTTCTGCTGAACTCCACGGCTCCTCTCCAGTAGAGATCATTAAGTTTGGAAGTTCATTGGCATCACATGGGTTTGAAAACATTCTGGGGGTGGGGGACGAGCGACAGACAGTCTCAGACCCCTTTCAAATCCAAAGTCTGACGCAACGTCAACCAGTGTCAGTTACACCACAATTAAAGGGTCACTAACGACACCCACAGCCACAAGCCTCAAATACTCTAGCAGTAATCCAGAGGCCAAGCGTGGCGGCGCCGGGCAGAACTACACATAAAGCCTTGCTCAGCCTCACCCTCGACGCCAAGATCCCGCTCCCTGGAACACGGAGGTGACGTAGAAACCCACCACGTTGTAGTGTCACCGTTGCCTTAGCAACCACCGCCTAACGGAGAGTCGAGTCTCAGAAGGGGTCGGCCACTCCCTCCCTCAGTTGCAGATCTGAACCTGAGCCCGCCTCCACCTTGAAGGATCAGGGTCTCTCCTCCACTCCAGCCTCATCAGCTGCCCCCGAAACTGGGTGGAACCCAGGCTCAGCGGCCCAGAAAGCAGCGCCACATCAGATTAGGTTCCAAAAAGGACACAAAAGTGAGACCCGCTGTTTCCGCGAGGGACGTCGGGAAATGTAGTCCGGAGCAGAAAAGGCAACAAAGCTGAGTTCTGCTAGATTGGTGCACTCCCACTTGAGGTCCATAGATGCCACGCCCCGTTGCCCTAGCCTCCCAAGCCGAACTCTGATTCTCCAGAGAACAGTTGTAAAGTTCCAACTCCTTTGTGTTATTTTGTACATGTAATAGGACTTGAACTTTATTTTTTATTTTTTGGGGGGTCCGGTCGTGGGGCCTGAACTCTGGGCCTGGGTGCTGTCCCTCAGCTCTTCAGCTCAAGGCTAGCGCTCTACCACTTGAGCCACAGC